TTTCCAAGAAGTAGAATAAATAGAAATGGCATATAAAATTCCTTTTTAAAAACCTTTCATCTGAAAAAAACCCAACCAAACCAGAAGTAGGATCAAACTACACCAGATAATTCTCAAAAACGACAGCTCTAAAGCAGTATCTTAGGAAGCCAGACTCCTTATATCCATTATTTAACACAGTACTGTTAGCCAACTTACTATGGAAGAAAAGAAATATGTCTTGCAGAAAGTGACAGGGATTAAACAACTAAATTTGGGAAACACAATCAGTTCCAGAGCTGGCTCTCTGTTGGCTTTTCATTCCACATGAACTACCAGCTGTTACTGACAGACTGAGATAATATATCAAATAAAGCCCTAAACTAGTTCACACTTTAGATTTGTGGGGTAGATGTGTAAAAAAATAAGCAAACAAGAAAACTAGTATTAATCCACAACTGAAATGCTTTAAAGCAAAGCTTTCCCTACACAGAAGGAAAACACAAAAAAACCAACACCCAAACAAAAAAGAAAAAAAACACAAACCATGAAAAACTAAGAAAGTAACAATAAATACAAACAAACCTCACCTTCCCTGGCCATGGAGGGTAACGGCCCAGCTTCCCCCTACAGAAAAAAAAAAATAAATTATTAGGCACTAGAATTAGAGAAAAAACTAAGTATCCCAATGTCGGCTTTTTCATATTATGAAACACTTTCCATAATGAGAGAATTACAATTTGCAGTCAAAACCTTCTGTTCCAGGCAGGACAGAAGGCTGACATCTGCACCTAACTCAGGTCTCTGGACAGTCTGTTTGACCTTGCTAGACTGTCAGAACTGAAGATAAGAGCAACAGCAACACTGCCTGCAAGATACAAGAGTAACAGGCACTGCAGCGCCATAAGTGTGGAAATTTCTTCACACAGAACTGAAAAAAGCACTGGTGCAGACAATCAGACCAAAGTTCAGATTGAGAACTTCTATCTACCTTTCTAGAGCAGAGCAACCACCAACTCCCAGCACAGAAAGACGAGGTTCTGATTTTCGCAGGAAGGCATTAATGGCAAGATCCCCTCAACTGGTGTTCCATTATTGCTTTCTTCAGGTGCTCACCACCACACTAACTGAAGATATGAACAGCCATAAAAGGCAGTAAAGCTTACTTTCTACACTTGCAAATGTTTCCATTACGAAAACTATGCAATACTAGAAATAATCACAGAGAAGGAAGAGACATTAGTCTTAGCCCTCAGCTTACCAGCTTTCCCGGTGAGCTTTATCCTTATTTCACCCTTGTCACTGACTTGTGCTGCAGTAGTCACAAAACCCCATTAGTAACTGTCTTGCAAGAGACAGGCAAAGAACCTGTGGGGCACAACAACAAAACTTCTCAGCAAGTGGCACTGCAGCCTGCTGAGTTGGCAATGCTGTACAGAAGGTTCAGAAGCCAGGGGCAGGCAGGAACACTGCCAAGAGCTGTGACCATGACCATGTCTCATATTCAGTGCTCCCATTCCTGTACTAAGGAAAAACTTCAGCAAAACCTTTCTGTCTGATTGGTAAAGTTCTCTGCGACAGCTCTAGGGACAGCATCTGGCTGTCACATACAAAACTAAAGCAGGATAATCTTCATTCCAGCACTGAGAGCAGAACACTCCCCAAATTCCCATCTGAAAGAAATACGCTAAAAGTAGCTAATCTTTACTTATTTTGCTATATAAATTAGACAACTTCCCAGCACTGTAAATTTTTCAGATGAGAGCTGCAGCTGTCACAGCCTGAAGCACAGGCTTCTTTTCATCTGGGTTATCAGTATAAATGCATGCGTTTATTCATGTGTTGGAAATTAGCTACTTCTCTGAGCTCTGGCAGGAGAGCCTAGCCCATCCAGCACAGCAAAACCGATGCACTTAATCGGTGCTCACAGGGCGCGGTGGAATTCTCGCACTTCTCCCGACCAGGAAACACAAAATCACAGCTCTGACTATCTGAGGGTAAGATCGCAGTGACAAGGGAAAACAGCTTCTGGGGGTTTCCACAGGGACACCCCAATCTGCAACGAAACGCTGAATTGTTGTGTTGCTTCATTAAAGCATTGCCAAGAAACGGTTGCGTGGCTCTCCATAAATACTTTCTTATCTCTAACGCTTCTCGCATCCCTTGGGAGGTGAGCCCGTACTTATAAGGGAACCCCACATTGCTCGTCCTTCCGCCCCGCTTCCCTCATCCTTCCATCTAACACGGCTTCCGTCATGCGCCGCCCTCGGCAGCCTCCCCAGCGCCGGCCCGGCTCACAGCCCAGCCCGCCTCCCGCCGGCCCGGTGCCCTGGCGCCGGGCTGCCTCCCGCCACTCCTCCCACACCGCCCCAGGGACGGCGGCGGCGATACCCGCAAGCCGGTAGCGGTCGCACCACTGTACTGCTCTGCCAAGCCCCACCCTGCCCACAGCCGCTCTCCGAAGTCACCGCGGGCTGACAGCGCCCAGCGCGGCCCAGCCCGACTCGGCTCGGCTCCCGCTGCGTCGCTCCCAGGGCCGGCTACAGTCCCGCCTGCGTCTCCGCAGCCGCAGACTGATTCCGCTAAAGGCGCCCGGTCCGCCATACTCCGCGGCCGCCGCCCAGCCCGCGCCACCACTCACCACACCAGATCTCCGAGCCTCAGACTCACGGCCGCCATCTTACCGACACAGACCGGCCGCGCCGCGCGGGGCCTGCCGGGAGCGCGAGCGGGGGGGTGGGGGCGGTGGCCGCGCCCATTGGGCGGGCACATCACGTGGCAGGCCGTCAGTCACGTGTGCGGGAGAGCTGTCAGCAGCGCCCCTGCCTCGCGGCGTTGTGACGGCGGCGGCTCCCATTTGCGCGCGAGGCAGGGGCGGGGCCGAGGCGGGAGCGGCGCTCCGTTCAGCTCAGCAGCTCCTTCAGCTGGAGGTACCCGGCGTGGGTTTGGAGGGGCTGTTTTGCAGGAGCTCGGTTCGAAGCGTATCGTCGGAGATATCGGTGGAAGGAGCGCCGTGTGCCAAGCGCAGCGTTGGAAGTGGAGGCCGTTACTCTGCTGGGCCTCTGTGGTGGTGGCTGCCGACCCCGCCCCTGGCGGAGCCCTTGTTTGTGCTGGGGCAGCGAAGGGCGCTGCAGCACTCCCGAATGAACAGCGGTTCCTTTGATAGAATTCCCCTTAAGAAGCAGAAACCGAAAGGCTCCGTTCCTGCCGCTGCTCGCTTCCCTCGGACTGCATATGTATTCCCCGCTAGCCCCGCGGAGCCACACTAGGAAGTGGAGGGTTTGGAACATGATTTGCGTTCGTTCTCCCGGGCAGGGGAGAATTGTCGTCTGTTGTGGAGCTGCATCGTTTCCCTGATGACTTGATGTGTGTGGTGGTGTCTTTCATTTCTGTCCATCAAACAAAGCCAATTCCACATTTTTTCAAGCATTCTTGTCACCTCTTCTGCTCTGTGGATTCACAGAAACTGATGGGTAAAGGCCTTAAACGGAAACGAGCTTGATCCTTGTGCTGCACAACCAACTGGGTACAAGCTCTCAACTCTGTACCCTGTAATAAGTGGCTTAACTGCTCTGATATTTCCCCCAAATTTGGGTGGATTGAGATCAAGTATTTTATTTTAAACCAGTGTCTCTCAAATTAATCAGGTACCTCCTGCTTACTCCTGTGCCCATCTTTTTTCAAGACATACACCATATTAGTCTTAAGAGCATTGAAAGCCTTTTTAATGCGTGGTTTACTTTTTTCGTGTGCAGCACACATGAACACATGTGAACACACCCCTTTCTCCTTTGATCTTGGTTGCTGGGAAAATCCACTCAGTAGCCTGAATGCCTTCAATGCAGGACTCAGCAGTAGCGCTGGAATTGCTGTGCTTCCTTTAATTTAACATATGGATTTCAATGAAAAAATAGAAGTCTTCTGTCAGATTTAATTTACCAGTCTAGAGCCAAAATCCATGCATGCTCACCTATGCAGTTTTTACTTAAGGTCTATGTTATATGTAGTATATATAATTTGCACCATTTCTAATATGATATATGTGATATTGAATATTTGTTAGAGTATACACGTTTGTATTAGGATTCCCCCCCACCCTCGCAGGCAAGACTGGGTGTATATTGGAAACTGATTTACAAGTAAGAAGGTACGGGACACCAGGTGCTGATCGTCGCGTGAACGACCCGAGATGGATATCATGGAAATCCTCGGGCAGATACATTTCCCGAATTCCCATAAATTTCATCAAGGGATTCAACAACTCCGGACACTGAATTATTCTCCCTCATACCAAAAAAGAAAATCTTATTAACATATGGACTCTGAATAGAAGAAAAGACTGACTGCCGAAATCTTGGCCTCAGGCGGAATTTTCCCTATAAAAACCGCTTGTGCCAGGATGGAGGTGTGTGGGCATAGAGGGAAACCTCTGCTGAGGCTGACCTCCTTTGTTGTACATGCAGGGCCGACCCCAGGCTGGCTAGATAGAATTTGATTTTAAAATAAATATTTTATTTTTCATATTAATTTGGCTGGACAAATTTTCATTTATAAGTCTACTTATTAGACATAGACCTTCTTGCATTCCATGGCTGGAGCAACTCAGAGGAATTTGTCTCATCCTGGTACGAAGTTCCATGACCCGGCTGCTGCTCGTGGCCCAGCCACTGACTGAAGACCTGGGCCAGATCTGTTGCTTTAATCTTCCTGAAACTTGGTTCACTCAGGTTTTGAACGTTCCCTGACATAGCTGAATCTGCTCCGATTTTTCTAAACTAGACACTGTTCAGATGCTTCTCAGCCACCGAGCCTGGCTCTCCCGAGAGCCGCCTAGCACACCGTACCGTCAGGCCGCGCCGGGCCTGCTGGCACCGGCGGGTCTGTACACGGCCAGGGGCCGCGGCACGCCACGCGCTCTGCGGGCAGCAGCCTGACAGCACCCACCTCAGGCGGCTGGGCCACACGGAACGCCGCGGTTGTCCCTGGCGACGGGCGGGGAGACTTCCGCGGGGGCCGGCACGGCTTCCGGGAGAGGCGGGAGCAGTGGATCCAAGTGCGGCGCTCGGTTCTGCTCCCTCTGCGCCCTCGGCCATCGCCATGGCCCGCAAGAAGCTGCATCGGCCCATCGCCGCCATAGCCAAGAAGATCCGCGAGTACCGGGAGCTGAAGGATCGGCCGCGGGACTCTCAGCGCTTCGCCGTGGACTACGAGACCATGCACCGGCCGCTAACGCAGAAACGGCTGCCCGTGCGGGCCTGGGAGGACGTGCGGAACGAGAACCGACTGTTGGCGCTGCTCTGCCGCCTGCCGCGCTTCGGCGTGGGCCGCACCGTCACCCGTAAGTCCTGGCTGTGGGCGCACCACGAACCTTGCTACTGGGTCATCACCAAGGTGAAGGTGGACTACATGGCCGAGGTACCTGCCCCGTCCCGCCCGTCGCCCCGCCGCGCCCTGCGGAGATCCCGCCTTCCACCCCGCCGCGACCCACCCTCAACAGGTTTCTCTTTTCTTTTCTTTGCAGAACATGGACCATGGAAGAGCCTGGGGCTACCTGACCTTCAAAGGTAAAACCAGCTCGTTGTCCCACACATAGGGGCAGAGCTAGAGAGCACGGGTGCGTGTGAGAGTGGCAGGGAAACAGGGCTGGCTCCCTGACTGGGAAATTTGTTTTTCTCAGATCTTCTAATGGGAGAAGAAATTCCTTGCGTTTTAAAGGCTAGAAATCTAGCCCCTTCAGAATGTCTTTCCAAGGAATGCTGTGGGAGAGCCAGTGCAGTATGACCTTGATGAACAGCAGCACTAAAAGCATATTAGATGAGCTAATAGACTGTTCTGAGACTTTCAAAGCAATACACAGTATGAGCATGAGGATATTCCAATTTAAATCGTTTCTAAAAAGGAAAAAGTGCAATGGCAAGTAAGTTGTGTTACTGGAATTATAAATTGATGATTGGAGTTGTATGAGTAAATTTTCCTTTTTAGAGTTACTTTATATTATGTATACAATTTTCCCTTACTGGAATTACTGAAATATACTCATTCAAAGGTTTTTAAGTTGTTGAGCACTTTTAACACTTAGTTTCCCAGGAAGCTTTCATCGGTGTAGGGAGAAATTATTCTTTTTCCTTACCCATGGAAATGGAATTTGAGAGAGACAAAGCAAAACTTTAAGAGAGGGAGTCACCCACGTAACTGAAACCTGTTTCTATTTCTATTTCGATTCTCAACGACTATAGTGAGATCCTGTAGTTATAGCAGGGAATAATGTGTTCAGCCGTTTGAAAACTCTGTTTGAAAACTCTTGCCTTTTGTAGCATTTTTGGTGCCAAAGAGTCAACACTTGCTGTGTCTGAAGGCAGTTTATAGTGATGGTGTTACCCACTGGTGTTCATCGTCTTTTCCCAGGCAAAACTGAACAGGAAGTAAGGGAGATTGACAAAGCCATGTACCATGACTGGCGTATGGTGCCCAAACACGAGGAGGAAGCCTTCAAGAAATTCACCCCAGTGCCTGAGGTGACTGTTCGGTTCCTGCCATACCCACCACTACTCCGAGCCATAATCCTTGCACAGTGGCAGAAGGAGGGAAGACCAGTCATGGAAGAGCCAATTATTGATGTGGAGAAAGTCCTGGCCTCTCCCCAAGAGTGGAAAAAGAAAAAAGCTACTGACACTGGTATAGAGACTTCTTAGTGTCCTAAGCAGCCCATGTACTCTCACTGCCTCTTAACAGCTCAGTGCACAAAGGGTCTTACAGAGCCCCTCTGTGCTCATTGTGCTAGGATGTCTCCAGATTTCTCCTCAACCGTGTATAGTCACCTCATCTGAAAGGGAAGATGCAGATGTAGTCACACTCTTCTTCCATAACTTTGGTTTCAGTAAGCAGAGGGGTCTTCTTGGTTCTTGGATAGTCTTTAAATACACAGCTTCAGTCAGCCAGCTGCAGTTCTTTGGAGCATAACATTTTTAATATAACTTGGGTCCTGAATGAATCACAGAAAAATGATTGAATATCACAGTATTTCACGGAGCTCTGAAAAAAATGTATCTGCAAATGGAAATAAATGTTTTCTTAATTCTGCAGCACAGTTCTAAGAAAACCCTTTTTTTTTTTTTCAATGTCTGGACATCATGACAGCCAAATGGAGAGCCATTAGCTCAGTCACAGCATCTGGTTCTCTGAACACTGCAGAAGGCAGTGAAGAAGAAGCGAGGAACATGACTTCAATACTAAGATAATCCAAAATTATCTGTCTCTTACTCCCAAAGATGGGGAAATTATTTTAGTTCTGTTGATGCAAAGGAGGTGGGATTGGCTCTCACCATTTGAAGCCAATTGTAAATTACCCCTGTTCCAGGGCAGCATGTTGTGAACATTAAAACATGCAGCTCCTGAGCACAGTTCATGGTAGCTCATCTTCTCTTGCAGTAGCTGCGGATGCTGCCGCTGTGTCAAAGGCTGTTGTAGGGTCTGGTCTGGGCATGGAGGGAAGGAGCACAAGAGCTGTTCAGCTCTATGCATCAATTTTCTGCAGAAATAACTGTTTAGTTCCTGTGTCTGCAGGTAGTCAGGAGGTGGTGTTCTATTTACTGCACCATCCTGAAATCACAAATAGCCTGAAGGGATTTCTGAGGGAGAGCACAAACTGGACTCTGCTCCACCCAGAGTGTGTGGCCTGGATGAAGCTGGGAACATGCGGCCCCAGCCATCAGGAAATGGCTGTCATCAAGCAGGACCACACAGATTGACATTGGCTAACTGTGTTTCGATAGGGTTCCTCACCAGAGGCTCCTGAAGGGTTAAGATGCTATGGGATATGAAGGAAGGCTTTTCTTGTGAGTTACAAGCTGGCCCTGTGACAAGGACCTGAGCCTGCCTTGTTGTGGCAGGAGCACTGCAGACCATGTGTCAGATCTAGTTCTCTGGCTTCAGAAGGAATGGAAGAATCCAGGAGAGGGAGAATCAGTAGTAAAGACACAGTTTGAGGCTGTGAGCCTTCCCATGGCAGTGGCTGGAAGGTAGTTTGTCTGATTCCTAGTCTCCACTGCTGGGCACTGAGCTGAGCTGTTGCGTTCCTGTCCGTACCATGATTGAGGTACTATTGAACACAAGGCAAGAACAAGGGAGATGGGAGGGAGGTGTGAGTCAGATGGGATGAGCAGAACAGTCTAGTCCTCTGTTCTGCACAACTGGGATCTAAAAATAGCACTAGGAGAGGAAGTGTCTCCGAATCTGACCACAGTGAGCAGACCTAAGTGCTGGTCACAGCAGCCCCAGAAAGGCAAGAAATGACCCATTATCAATATATGTAAAGGGAGCCAAGCCAACAACAAAAGCAGATGGAGCTAATAAGGCACAGTCACCCAGCAGCAGTTTGGGTGAGGTGGGATCTCTGAAAATGATGTAATCAAAATCCAGCCCCATGGGTTGAAGGAGTTCATCCAGGAGTGGCCAGAGACTGACACAGTTACATGTTGAAGACCTCAGGTTGTGCTTCAGTGAGGCTCCTGGGCCATAGGAGGAAGGGCCCCTGTACAGGTAGGGGTCTAGGTGGCACTAACCGTGACAGTTAGGACCTGCTGGTAAACTCAGGGTCATGAAATGGAGAAATAGCCGTCTTCTCACAGAGCCCTGGGCAGCCTGTGAGCCTTTCCCTGATAGTGAAGGTCCCTTATGGGATGCTGCACAGCCTGTTTGCCACGTGTTGGATTCCATGCCCAGAACAAGCTGTGAGTTCTGATGAGCTTCCCAAACTTGTACATTTCCTCACAGATTGTTTGCCAACATGGTGCGATTGTTCAAAGGGTGTTGGCAGTGACCTGCTTCCTTAGCCACCAGACATAGCTGTACTTCACCCAGGGTCCTGCTGAAACTGCTCCTGGCTGTTTTGAAGGGTGCAGCCCCAGTGATTTAGGATTGATTGCAGCACACATTTCCAAACCTCACTGTTGAGGTGCGTCCATTAACTGCAGAGGCATTGCCAGTTGTACTATACCCTGGCCTGTGCCACACCACAGTGCATGTGTTGGTCACAGAGGTAACTCACTTTAGGGCTCCCTGCTCAGGGCAGAAGACGCTCCTCTCCAGTATTAAGCACATGGTTCATTGCCATGTCTAGCCCTTGAATTGATGCAGTTCTACAAAATAACTATGAAGGTGTCCAAATGCTGCTGGGACTGAGGAGCTCTCTGCAGTTGAATGATGCTGATATCACCAATGCCTATCGGACTGTGCAGTGCCACCCTGTACAGTGTTGAATACTGACCTGATATGTTATCCCTGGCAGTTCCTGAAGGGCCACCCTGACTAAAGTTCCAGCAAACCAGCAGGTGAATGCTTCTCTGCTCCAGTTTCTATTTCTGAAGCTGTGCCACCTTATATTTCCACCTTTTATTTCTGCTGCTGGTACAAGTTACAATTTGCACTGTTGCTTGCTGGACCAGCCCCTTCTGCTCTGACCTTGTGAGCCATCAACATTTCATTTCTTGCCACTGAAATGCTCAACAGGGAACACTTGAGCTGCGTTCCCACCTTTGAAAGTGACCTATTAAAGACTAAGCAGCCTTCATAGTGCCTTCATAGGAACACAACATGCTGCCCAAGCTGATGTTAACATGTTTATTACATACAGAACAGGTATGGTTTGTTGCTGACAGCATAGGGGACAAAGCACGGGAATATATTCGTACAGCAGGCTCTTTACAGAATGCCATCTTCAGATCAAACAGCGGAGTTTACAGGCCTTAAGACACTTTTAAAAATCCTTTTGTAACATACAAGATACTTTACATACATCACAGTGGAGATATGACAGAGAAGCGTACTGAAGCCAGTTAGTCCTCACCTTAATACCCAGCAGCAACCCAAGGCTACAGGAGCTATCAGCAGAGGCTGGGTCTCCCCCCTGCAGCTGCCCCTCTGGGCCATGTGCTTCTCTTGGAGGAAACCATGGCATTGAGCTGGAAAGGAATCTGATGGGAGATTCCCGTGTGTTGTTAGGGCCCAGTGGGTGACAGGAGATCAAGTGTTGTCCCTTCAACTGCTCATACCAGATACAGAACAGTCAGTGGTAGAAATGTTGCAAATCTGACTTTTTTATGAAAGAACTTACGGAGTTAAGAAACAGAACCCTACCAGGCCTTCTTTTTAACTAGCCCAAATTCTGAAATTTGCCTGGCCCTAACTGATGAACTATTACATGACAGTGGAATCTGTGCTCTAAATGTTATATTGTTTACTTCAATGCACTCTCTATTGGGATCCAAAGAGGTCTTCCTAGCAGAAAGCATACGGCAAAAGTGAATGAGAAGCCTGGCAGGGTCAGCAGTGCCTCAACAAAATATCCCTGGTGAAAGGTCACCAGAGATGTCTCTTGCCTTCTGGCAGGAAAGATGTATGCCACAACCTTTCCTGAACTGTGGGTACAAAAATTGTTTAGGTGCTGCTGTATCAGGAGAGATGCCACATGTTAGAGCATCCCCTGGGAATATGGCATCCCTGCAGCACACCAGGATCTGCAAGCCTGGTCCATGGCAGCAAGCACAGGACACAGCAGGGAGCTTACCAGGAGATGGAGGCTTGCCCAGTTGTCCCCATATTGTCACAAGGACATCTCTGTGAACCCTGGAGTACTGTAACAGGTCAGGCAAAAAACAAGAGGACCACCAGGAGCTTCCAAATTTATCACTAACAAATGCAACTTGTCCTACTCCTGCACACCCAAGAAAGAACGTTCAAGGAGCACAGAATTTGTCCTTGTGAGACAATGTCAGAAAAGGGAGAACACACCATTGTCTCTACACCTGTAACTTTCATATTCTGCATTGTAAGCTCAAAACCACCCTCCCTGGCCCCAATTTTTGCCACTTTTGTAAGCAGGATGTACATGTGCAATCAGCATTGCTTAAACAGAAAGGGCTATCACCACTTTTCTTGGGGGCTGTCAATTCAGGAGTCAGAAATTTCCAGCTTTTCCAACTTCTTACTAGCATAGTCAGTGCTTAGGTAAAAGATGTCAGATTAGGTAAAAGATGTCAGGAATCTAGCCTCAATTCTTTTGCTGTGTGACATCAGGTGAGATATAGCCTTGACTCCACTTGTCCTAACCAACTGCCAAGTCTCCATTTTCCAAGACTCTCTGAAAAGATATCTCCTTCCAGCACATACTAAAAAGTAGACACAGCCTTGAGATGAGGCAATCTCAATGTGTTAATGCAGAACTCACAGCAGATCAACACCATCTGACCTCACCTGCCTTTTAAAAGCCACCAAATGCAATGCAGAGATAACCACATGAACCTTTCAGAATGCACTCAGGAATTCTTTTCTGTATGACTTTTTTGGAAAGGAAAGTTAAAAGACTTGACTTATCTTAAAAAAGCAACATTCTGGTACCCTTTTGCTACTACTGCTGTTTGGCCTTGACAGTCAAACACCTATCTACCATCTGAGCCCACAAAACAATTATCTTGGGACACACACAGGCAGGCACCCAGCACATGACTGCTGAGGCAACAGCAGCAGCAGAGGAAGGGACTTTCCCCCTGCAAAGATGGAAGATGTGATCCCCACAGTATGGGTGCTGCTGCCTTCTTCAGCACCACAGCTGAAGTGCTGCTGAAACCATGATGCTCTTTGGAAGCTTCCTTGGACTCTCTGCTGCTCTAAGTCCAGAGGATGTTATTCCGTGCTTAAGGGTGAATAAGGATAAGATGAAGAGTCTACTGGTGAACTAGAAGGATTTCTGCTGGGGTGCTGCAGAAGTGATTCACCATCACTGCTTTGGCAGGGAATGCCTAGGGACGCACTTCTTTCTCATGCAGGTGGGAGTGAGGCAACCTGCCCAAAAACCTGAGGCACCCCCCTCCAACTGCCCCTTCTAAAACTGGGCAAAAGTTTCCCACAGGACTGGCTCCAAGCTCCCTCCATGTTGTACTGCCATTTCTCTCCTTTTAGATGCCAGCTCCAGAGCAGAACAAGAACCTAACCACGCCAAAAGCATACGGGCCCGAGTTGAAAGCTACGAGTTCAGAGGTTCAAGGGGTCACAGTTCAAGACAGGAACCGTTGCAGTTGTCCAGGGTCAGTTTCCAGCAGGAGTTATAATGCAGGCATTCTGTATGTACATCGTGGCATTCAGGTAGGAGAAGGGACACTTACATTGTGGGAAAAGAGGAATTCTCACTCAGGGATGTATGATACCTGCCACACAATAATGTGGCTCCGTTCAGCCTTGGAAAGTACTGGCTTCACTTGGGTGGCATCTCCCATATTCTCTTCTGTCTCATCATCTTCCCCATCCCCTGAAGACAGAACACAGAGAGTATAAAAACGGCAGGAAAAGAAATGCTCTGGAATATTCTAAGGAGGCCAATACCCCTTTTAGAGTCCCAGCAGTCCAATAACAGAAACTATGAACTGAGATCTTTCTCATGCTTGGAGAACATTTACAGCAACCCCGTTCTTGTCTGAAGCCGGACTGCATAGATGGGAAAAACTAGCTGCAGCAGCAGAAAAAAACACTCTTCCTTTCAGGGAAGCCAGTTTTTACACACAGAGCACCCTCAGCAGCATGTGTAATCGTAGTGGGACTACATTGCTCCATCCAGCAATGTTTGAAGCCAGTGGCAGAGATGCATTTTTTCTTTCCAAAGCAATTCATACTGATGTTATTTTATGATAGTTTTAATATATTTTCTGCTTTTCAGATTGCTCATGCATGGCTGTAGCTCCCAGTACTTTTCCTACCCTTTCCCCCTACATTTTAGAACAGTAAGCTAACCTTCTAATATATTCCTGAAATACTATTTAGTCTAGCCTCTTTAGTCAACCAACAACATCTTGCTTTTTACTATGCATCACAGATGTGATAAATGTGGGGCAAAGCTCTTGGACCAACTCCAGCGGGGCAGAACCTGGGGAAAATTGCCTAACCAACTGTTCTTCTAATTGGATGATATTTGTTAACTATACTAATTTGTTTAACTTACAGAAGTGTAGAAGTCCTGTATCATGTGTGTATATTGTACCTGGAGGCCTCCAGTTAAAGACCTGCTTTTATATTACTTCCTATATTAATATTGTCTCAAAACTGTGCTGTTCTCAATTTTGTAGGCAGCAGCCACAAGGTACAGGTTGACAGCCTTGTGCTGTGCAAGGAACATCCTTATTTACTCTCACAGCCAGATGCAGGAGAAACAGTGTGCGGCTTTTTTGCTTTGGTTCTCCACAACAGTGATGCCTCTCTACATGACGACAGCTATGCACCCACTTCCCAGATGCCTCCCACCAAGGGGACTTACCAATCCGGAAATCAATATACCCTTCTCCTCCACTCAGCACCAGGACGTTCTTTAGCTTCTGACCCTCAGTCTCAGTGGCTGCTGTGCTGGGGTTCTCCGAAGGGCTGTCCAACACGCTCCCATTTAAAGTTGCAAGGACATTGCCTAGAAGAGGCCAGAGGTGCTGTTGGTGCCTCTGCTCAGCCCCCACACAGTTCACATGCATACAAACACATTGTGCAGACCAATTCTTTCTATCACTCCAGTATAAATACAGATGTGTGAACCACAGGAAGTGCCAGCCATGGCCTGGACCCTAGTCTGCTGCAGACCAGCTCAAGCCACTGCTACAAAAAGGATGGAGGGACAAGTTCCTGCTGAAGGAGAACTGTGCTTACCTGGCACAGAGACAAAGAACTTGACAGCATCACGGTGGCCATGGAAGCAGAGTTGTGCCTGAGCCATAGAGCAGTAGGGAATGAAGCTGCTGGCAGATTTGTCACTGTTGTCATCACCATACACGTGGATGACTCCACCAGAGCGACTGCCCTCTGCAGAGGTTGGTGAAGTCTTGTTGGCTGGAGACAGAGCAAGAACACCATCAGTGATAGCTTTGAGTCCCCTTTACAGAAGGGACTCAGTCAGAGAGAAAACTCATGAGCCGTGAAGGTAAACCTTTAAAAGTGCGGGTCTCTTTAAAGGTCTTTTATGAATGATGTGATGGAGGAGACCACAGCAGATTACACAGTCCCTCTCTTTTGCCTGGGGCAAGGTAGACTGGTGTCACCAGCAGTGATCCTGTCCAGCCTCCAGAAATAACCTGCTCTCCTAGGATCAACCTTGGTCTTTTGTAGCTGGCAGGGTACACAAAGTGTCTACTGTCCCCAGAAGGCACCTGGAGGAGAATTCCTACTCTGGATTAGTGGTGTTGCTCAACTTTCAAGTCAAGTCCTTTGCTCATGCCCAGCAATGAGCACACATGCTGCTGAAAGCAGTCTCTGGACCTAGTGAAGCCCACTCAGAGCCATCATAGAAGTGGCTGTCCTTCCTAATTTCTTGATTTAACCACAACACCACATTGTCAGCTACTCCAGCAATGAGTATCTTTCAGATTCTCACCATCCACAGCTTCCAAGGAAGGCTCAGGGCCCAGTATCCTTCATGACCAGGCTCCAAGAATGTGACAGTTTCCACTCACCAAGCAAGAGTGCTCTGAGCTCAGGGTGGGAGATGCTTTCCTTCTGCATGCACCCACATCAGTACAACAGGAACAATATTAAACCAGGCAGCTTTCACTTTTCTGTGAGAGAGGTTGATTGCTTCATTAATTATCTCTAGTTCTGTTTTTTATCTGTGGGTGAATTTCAGTTACGTGACTTGGACAAAAGAGACTTTTCCCTATCAGGCTCAAGCCAGGACAGTGGGACAAGCACAAATACTTCGATGGAAGAATGAGAGTCAATGTGTGTACAATATCTGACTTTTTACTGCAGCTAATATCAGATGCTTTAAAAGGAGGAGACGTTGATAATGCATCTGGACAGCCACATGAATGTCTTTAAGTGAGAAAAAGCCCCTCTAATTTCTAACTGTGGAAAGGCATGAATTTGAACTGAGATCCTGCCTTAACTGGCACAAACCTAAACAATTCTTCATGCTTATCAAGTCCCCCTGGGTTCAACATCTTCTTTGATAACTTACAGCTGACAGGTGCCATAGCATCACCTGCCATTGGCCTGAAACTGACGAAAGAAGCATCCGTGGAAAACAAAGGATGACCAAGGGAGACCTTGGAAAAACACTCTACTCCTGCTTCCTGCTTCTGACTGAATGAACCTTTCCTGTCCCCATCTCAAACTGGTCTACCACAGAAAGGGAACCACTGCTGAAGAATAATTATCCTTAACACAAAAAACCAGAAAGATCAACAATGAGACGAAAAACATTGTTTATAGCTGTGGAAAAGGAGGCTATTTACATGACTGTCTCTGACTGCTGTTCTCTAACACAACTTAAAACAAGAGTAATGAGGAAAAATGGATGGGGAGAAGTTGAATGGCAGAATGGAAGGTAGGAGAATGACTGCTTAAGGAGATGGGTGCAAAAGGAATGACAGCTGTGGAGGGGAGGCAATGGACTTACCCCGGAGCCCAAGGAGTTGGCCACGGTGGAGGACTACAGCTAGGTACAAGCAGGGAGTGAGAACACAGAGGGGCACGGGAAGTGACAGGTAGGATGGGAGAGAAGAAAAAGGTGATTACTGGGAGATCATTTGAGGGCAACAAAAATAGTATAAAGCCTAAAGAAACCACCACAGAAGCTCCTATTAGTTCATCCTAACACTGTTCTTGCTCACTTTGCTCTTACCATACAGGGACAGAGGTGGCATTTGAGGTGGGAGAGGGACCGTGTCACAAGGATCCACTGCTACATATTTAGTGATATTTTCTTGTTTACCACATTTTTTACAGGAACACACAAAGATAAAGCAATTGGTTTTACAGCAGGGAAAAAGTTTAACTCAGAACAAGCATAGCAGCCTTAAGACAGAATGGGCTTCAGAAAAGGAACTCACAAACAAACAAAATTGCAATGCATGAACAGGACCATGTCACTGCCCTCCTGGTGTTAACCCCAGACATACTCAACTTCATTGCCCTCAGAGGAGACCATCCCAAGCCTGACTTCCAGGAGGATTACAAGATGTTTGTTCTTTTTGAACAACAGGTATTTGTTTCTCAGCTTTCCTGTGAGCATTGGTGAGGAAACATACATTTGGCTGCTTTCTGTTGAAAGCAATTGCAATCAGTCTCAAATCCTACTTCCCCATGGTGATCTGGATAAGACCTTCAAAATAAGATACTGACAGGCTCAGAACAGGACTAGTAGGAGCTTCAACTAAACTTCCAGCTCCACAGAGTCACCTATTTACTCTTACTGCTGGGTCCCCTCACCAGGCTGGATTTGGTGTAGGAGACCTATTTTTACTTGACTGATAAAACTGAGCCCTAAACTGAGTAAATGGAGCTTTTCTAAGCTCAGTTTTTGGAAAATACTGCTACGGAGACATTTAAATGACTAGGCCAAAGTGGAATTTCTAAGCAGATCTTCCTGGTGACTTCTCATCCCATGACCTCCTTTTGGAGACTTACTACAATTCCCAAAGCTTTGTTTCTCTTGTTTCACAGTAGCTACAGAATCAGTTCACATCACTCTGCTCTGTCAAGGTCCAGGACTGCTCATACTCTGGGCTCTTCTCCCTGAAATGGCTATGATTAAAGGGTGTCAAATGTCAGGAAAGCATCACCTGCCTGAACCACCTGCCATGCTGCACAAATAATACCTAAAAGCTTATTTTTTTAGGGGGTATGCAAGAGTACTTTCAATAAATGTCACTTACTCTCAGTCAGGGGAATGGAGATGACAACACCATTCCCAGTTCCCACCCAAAGGCGGTTGCCAGCAATGAGTAAGGCTGTGATCCGCACAAAGGAGAAACCCAGCTTTCCAGTGCCTAGGAAGCATGAATGAGAGTTGAGCAGTCAGGGATGACTTTGGGTAAGGTCCGCTTTGGGCAAATTCTGCCTTGAGCTCAGTAAGCAACAGACCCTCACCTAGCATCTTGCTGACGTAAGGTTCAATGTCGACATCCTGCAGATGTTGATGGCTGTGGGCATGGTAGAGCCTCAGTGTGGAGTCCAGGCGGATGGAAACCCACACACCATCTCCAATCCATGCCAGTTGTCGCACCTGGCTCTCCCGACGAGGATGGGCATCAAAGGACTTCTAAAATACCAATGTGAGTTCACAGAAATTTTGCCATTATCTTTACTCCACATATACATATACTCAATTTTCAACTGAGATAACTTCTTTGGATTCCAAAGATCTTGGAGAAGCTGTGTTAATACCAGCTGATCCCAGCAGTTCATTACTGTACACAAAAAATCCTTTGCTTGAGCAGCTGTCTGGCAGCTTTGCAGAATTGATGGTCTTTTCCGACCACTTCAGGAGCAAGGGCCTTTAGACAGCAAGAGCTTTCAATGTACTTGACAGAAAAGGAAAAAAACTCAACTCCAGGATAAATTTCAAGGATCAAACTGCTCTGGCTCACTAATGTGAACTTCAGATCCAGCACTTCTCTCCTCAATAAGAATTATTTCAAGCATTCTCAGATTTGTACCAACACCACTGTACTGAGTTTCACCCAAAACATTGTTTTCCCTTTAATGGGATCCTGGGGGCTTGCTAACTGTACTGTTACTTTGTGCCATAATGCCTAAAGATGGAGAAGCCTCAGATTATATGTGAAGAGTCACTGCAAAACAAATACCTATGTTTGGACAGTACACAGCCCCATAGACTCCCTAGTAAAGACAAAGAAAATTGTCAGTTTAGATTTACTGATAGAATTATGCTCTGCAAAGGGAGGAAGGAACAAATAACCCCTGGCAGATTAAGAATAAATACAACACAAGTGTGTGCACACATAGACATGTATGTGCTCTCTTACCTCAATCTGCATTGTCTTCGGCTGGATAACATGGATTTTGTTCTTGTAGCCACACCAGACTCTATCATAGACCACAGCCATGCAACGGATGGAGTGGTGAGTGTGGCCAAGATCCATCAGGTGGTAATTGCTGAGATCCCACTGACCATCTGAGGAGAAAAACAAGTGTGGAAAGATGCATCTCCTCCATGACATGAGAGCATACAACAGAATCCTCTATCTTTATATATATATATATATCTTGGTGTACAGGCTTAGCTGATGACCAAATGCTTAGTTTGCTTATGTCTGTGACCTTCCTATAACTCCTGCTTTGGGCACAGCCTTACACTTATGAAACATGTAACGATAAAGTTTAGTTTGATGTCTGACAGCTCTCAAATCAGGCCAATTTAAACATCCTTTATTGCAATGAAGTGAACAGGCTTCTCTAACAAGTACAACAAAAGCAGTGAGAGAAGAGAGAAGACATCCGATCAAGATTAGGCAGAAACTTAAAATGAAATGGGCCATACAGTCCTTGTGAGAAGGCTTCCTCACATGACAGACCTACAACATAATTTGCCCAAAGTGTTAAATCCAGGAAAAGGAATGAGATCTCCCTTCTCTCACTCTTATTTTTAACTAGCCAGGCAGATATTGTGTTCTTCACAGACAGGAAGCCTCTATGTGATGAAGCTTTATCATATTTCTGATAGGAACAATTTTGATGTGTCAATGGTCAGGCCTGAGCTCATGACAAAGGCTGAATCAAAATTTGAATTGCAGAAACTCAGACATGTCTATTTTTCTGCTTGCTGAATCAACTGCTACTCAGTGAATAACTAAGTTCTTTAGATGCCAACATTAGTTATAGTTAGCAAATCCCCATGTTCTGTCAGATGTGAACACAGCTAAGACTACTCAAGCCATAGGGAAACAAAACCCACAGCAGTGAAGAGGACCAGAAATTGAATTTACTAAGTGTACCGCAAACAACTGCACAGCATATGTATTCCTAAAAGTGTCATGTTTACTCCACATGTACTACACAGTACATACACACATTTTTGTTCAGGAAAGTTCAGGAAGTGGTGTTAGAGTACACCTGAGCTGGTTTCGGATAGCAATTTTAACAGCCATGTGTTTAAACTTGGAGTTTGTACTATAGCAGCCAGCAACTTTCTCACCTTGGAAGAGCATTTAATCCACTGCTACATTTCCAGCCAAATTTTGTTTTCTCTATTACACTGATTCTTACCTTCTCCTCGATGGAATATGGCTAGTGTTCCATCTGCCAGAGCAACCAGGACCCTCCCTTTCACATGCCTGAAATAAGGATAGTAAATACATCAAAAATGCAATAGAAATGAGGGACTCAAAAACTCTTTCTGCCATCCACACGCATCATCTTTACATATCTCCAGAATTCTTAGTCAGTTTAGAATTGCAGGAACATCCTGCAAGAGGTCACACCTCTTACCTTCACTGCAGTAAGATCACATCTGTAAGTTTTCTGTTGAGGGAATTCTTCTTCACAATATAAACACCATCCATTTCAACAAATTCCCCTAATTTATCCCTCAATGAAATTTTGCCTTTCTCCTCCCCATTTACTTCCTCCTGATATTGCTAAACATGTATTCACTGAATCAGGTCAGGACCACAACTGAGCAGGAAAATGGGTTGGTATAAGGTGTTCCCATTACAAAAACTGTGGGAAACTTCTCTCACAAACACTTAGGAAAGCAAAGAAAAAGTTGAGGCTGTCATATCCTTGGAAGTGTTCAAGGCTGGGAATGTGGATCAGGCTTGGAGCAACCTGGTCTAGTGGAAGGTATCCTTGCTCATGGCAGGGAGTTGAAACAAGAGGATCTTTAAGGTCTGTTCCAACCCAAACCATTCTGTAAGTCTACGACCAAGAGCTGCTAGCCCCCTCTAAAGCATCACTCAGGCCCTGAACCTTCTCCTTCAGGTCTCTTGGAACACACACTTACACCAGGCTCAGCACAGAGTCCTTCAGCTTTATTGAGTGCAGACATTTCTTCCAGCTGGACACAGCCGAGTGCACATAGAGCCTGTGAGAGAGGACAAATTGGGGATGGTTAGCAGCAAGGCCCCACACTTTCAGCTTGCCCAGGTTTGAGTCTTTCCTTCTGGCAGGAAAGGTGGAGGTGGGGTAAGAAACTGATACTAAATCCCTGAGACTATGGTGAGCTGAGCAATGAAATCAGGAATGGAAACCATTTCCAGAAACAAGCAGTGAACAAAAGGTGTTTGGACTTGAAAAACAGAGCCCAGAGCAGGGAGGAGGGAGGTGACACAGAGATTTGCCAGCCCAAGGGGAACACACCAGCCATTCTGAGCTCCCAGCCACATGGTGGGGGCAGCACTGGTGCAGGTTCCAGCATCCCTGGTTGACTCCTGATCTGGCAGTGCTGTGCTGGGTTCCATCTTCAGCTGCCCATTCTCCCTGAAGAGGCAAAAGAGCAGTGTTAGAGATTTAGCAGCAGCAGTGCACAGAATGCCCACCTAGGCCCACAGCCTGGCACTCACAGACAGTACGGGCCCTTGAAGACACCAATCGCTTCCTCCTCTTTGGTAGTTTTCAACTGCAAATCTGCAATTTACAGTATTTCCTTTCTCCTCCCCTTATCAACAACAAGTATTTCAAATCTACAGAGCCTGAGTTTAGCAAGACTATTACACAAACAATATCTTCTCCTTCCACCCTATTCTTCAGGCCATCACATCAGCTTTGTTTGTCTTAAGAACTTTTTGAGTGGTGAATACGCTTTCTTGGTTACTTTTAACACATCAGAGGTACTAGTAGAATAAATCAATCATAATTTCTACACACATATCGGTAAGCTCCTTCCATAAGAACATGAAGTGTACATGTACTTTGCAAGATCTGCCTTAACCACAGGTCTAAGTTCATAATGAGAGGTCAAATATTTGCATTTTAACAGCTGATCCAGTCAGTTGCAGGCTGAGCCGTGTCTGTTTTCATTACATTTTTTTCATTCCCTGTTATCCCATCTGTAAAATTGCTTGGGCACAAAACTGATAGAAGTCTGACACTTTATCAGAAGACCAGGCTGCTTCTCTTATCACAAAGCTTATGAAAACAGAACTGATCAGTAATAGAACAGAACCATTACTCTGATCCCAGCTCACCTACCCATTGTGCCTGGGTGCCTGGGCTGGGACAGGGTCTGTGAACACGTGCTCGGTGAGGGGCCCAGGCCGGGCCTGTGTCAGCTCTGCCTCGCTGGCACTGCTTTCCGGTACTTCTGTAGCCTCTGTTGCCTCCTCAGTAGACTGAGGCTGGTTGATTTTCCCATTGCAGACAGGAGCCACCTCACCTGGAGGACAATGAACAATGTGAGACATGCTGAAGAATCAGTTGGTGAGTTAACTATATAGGTATCAGGCTGTCAGTTCTTTAATTTATCTTTCCTTGCCAAATTCAATCAAGCCCTGAGCTTGCGCCACAGAGACAGCAGCTCATCAGGTATCTTCTGCCTGGAAGGAAAACAGACACTAGTTTAAAGTGAAGCATAATCTGTGACTAGCACAGCACAGCACTGGAAGGGCTTCAAGGCTGTCGCTACAGTATGGAGCCAGCAAGGGCAGCACTATGATTTGCATGTGAGGTTAACTGGCTTCCCAACACTCAGGGAACAAAACAATCAGAAAAGCAGCACCTGTAGCAGGGCAAACATGCCCAAAATACTCAGCTGTATGACTCCTGCAACCAGGCTGCAGCATGTGACTCAGAGAAGAAAGGAGAGCTCTAAGAAGAAATGTACCAAAAGGGCCTTTGGTACTCCTATATTGTAGTAACACAATTCTGGAGGCCTCTGAAGTGCTTAAGTTGGGGACATGAAGATGTGGCTGTAACACCATGAGCTTGTACAGGGTTAGCTGTAATTGATACACGTCACTAAGTTTTACATCCCAAAACTTACTCTGTCCCTTGTCCAGAACAGGTGTATCCCCACGTGAGGAACAGTTGCTTCGTGGCACATTGCAGCGGGTTGCACAGCCCACCAGTGTGATCCCTGCCAAGACACCATCTGCCCCGGCTGACTCTTCGGGATTCACATCCCCCTCCAGGAAGATCTCACCTGGGGGATAGTCACTCTCACTGGCCGCTGAAGGCAAAGAACAGGTTCTCATGTAAATCAAACAATCACTGCTAATTTAATGTACTCCTGAAGTCACCCTAATGATGGGAGATTCTGATCCTTCAGGGCTCACCACCCTGGGGAAGCACCACACCATCCATCAGCAGCCTGATCCACAGCAGATCCCCTCATCCCTAGTACCAGTATCTAAGGCAGGTACAGAGCACTTCCATGCCCAACAAGGCTCACTCCTGCTTCCAAAAAAAACCCTTTGTGTACCAAAGGAATGACTTACTGAACACTGAACAGGGAGAGATCTCCACAGAAAGGCAAGATCTGGATTATGATTTTGGGGAACAATCACAGAACACAACAAAGCCCAGGGGTTAGCTCCCAAGTGAGGATGTCTATTACTCCTCAGTGGGGCAGGTGACCCTGTGCAGACCCCAGCCTGGGCTGCACTCACCAGGGATGCTGGAGATGCAGAGCACGTGAGCGTTGCAGACAGTGAACTGGTCCACCACTGTGCCAGGCTGGTTGGCATCAATTATCACGACTTTACTGGTTGACAGCGTGCTAGTGAGGATCCAAACACGGCTAGATGTGGCATCCACCTCATGGAGCTCCTTTGCCTTTGGGACAGCAGACACGCATGGGCATGATCAGCACTTCTCTTGGATCAACCTGAGCTTAAGAGTGCTTGGCAACATTTACACATGGTGTAATTTATTTTAAATTACATATTCTATCCTACAGTAGAACTATAGAAGAAACTTTTCTTTTTTATATTGCTGTCTAATCAGTTATATTTTTATTTTTATTAATTTGATTCCATTCATGTTGCTGCACTAGTTTCCAGAGCACTGGCCAAAGAGCCTGTCTGACTCCTTAGGGCAAGAGCAATCTGGCCATTAATTTTTCTGTTGAGGTATCTGACAAATGTATCACTGAATATTCAATTATCCAGAATGCTGTGAGTCTGGGACACACCCAACTAATCAGCTTAAGCAAGCTGGTCTCGGGAAAGTATAAGGCAGCAGTATAAGGTGTGGAAAAAAACTCTACATACAAGACGCATACAATATCTATGATTATCTGCAAATTACAGTTTGCTTCTTTGAACAAGAAAAAAACAAAAAATCACTTAAGACTACTAAAAACCAGAAATGCATTAAATCTCAAGAGGCCCAAATGGACTCACAGACTGTGTTCTTTTAACAAAGCTTTGCCTGAATGTATTTATTAATTTACAATGATGAGGGCTATATAATCTTCCTAGCAACCTCAATCAGGCATTTAATTGTCCTTATTATTAGGATTTTATTCAAAATTCCAAACATTTCAAAAGCAAATGTTGGAAAACTTTCTACTGGATGATTTATCCCAAATCACACCAAAGTTACAGAAGAGCTAGCACACCACAGCACTGTCCCACAAGTACAAGAGCATTTTATGGCACAGTACAAAGATATTGAAAGAAGGCGTGTAGTAGGGATAAAATGACAAAAAACACTGGAAGGAAAGAAATCCACTTTATTTTCTGACCTTTTTTTTCTCAGGAGATGTATGGTTACTTTTGTTGTTCTCGCCTTCCACTTCCCTGTCACAGGTGAGGGGATCGTGCCCAGGATCTAGTTTCTGCCCATTCCCAGGCTCCTGTTCCAAAGGTCTCCATCCTGAGAGATTTACTCCAGCTGCACACCACAGCTAAGAAACAGAAGCAGGAATCTGAACCAAGAATTCTGCAGGCTCCATGATCGCTTTGAATTTAAGCGCCTTTGTGGAGAACTGTCAAATGTCAAACATCTAAAACATTTAGCTGGAAACACCAGATCTTGATGATTTCTACTAGAAGATATCTGGATTGATGGAGGTAAGGCTCTACACAGCAACATCACTGCTTTTTAGTCACTGCAGCAAAGCCAGCCAGGATATGGCAGATGTTTAATGTGTTCAAACTGACAGAAGACAGATTAAATGAGATATTAGAAGGAGATTCTTCCCTGTGAGGGTGTGAGGGTGAGGTTGTCCAGAGAAGCCTGTGGCTGCCCCATCTCTGGAAGTGTGGAAAAACAGTCTGCTGGTTTAGCTCCCAAGTAAGTAGTTTTCTGAAATCAAACCCAGCTAACCTCCTATGAATTATTTCCAGGGAGTTTTTTAAGAGAATGCCTGGAAGGGGACTACAGAAATACTAGATTTATTCAAAACCTTAAAGGAGAGATGCTGCACAGAACATTATCTAAAGATCACACCCAGAACCTTGTAGAAACAGCAGCATAAACATTTTCTTACAATTTAACCATCAGGATGACTTCTGAAAATAATTTCTGAATGAAGTAATGACAAACAGCCTATTTCAAAACAAGCAATTCCAGCAGGTAAGTCTGCCACCTACACAGATAACCACTTATGCCCAACTGCAATTCCACTCAAAACATTCTAGTATTTATGGCTTCACAAAAATCTACTCCAGATAATACTGGCCTGTAACCAGTGAATTCTGGTCAACAGTAGAATCTAAGGAGTGATGAAATGCGTTTTTACTTTCACTTGATCATTTTCATTAATTTTATATCAATTTTCATTACACCCTGAGAGGTCTTATCAAAAGCATTAGAAGCATAAGTTGTTGCTCTTGTTGATGAATTGTCTCAAAAAAGCAGATGTCAGGGAGCAGCAGGGGACCTAGCAACCAGAAGCAGCTGAGAATTTTGTCCTAAAATACTTTTTCCTACATTCACTACAAACCACCATACAAAAAAATGAAGTGGAAGATAGAATTTGGAATATATAATGTCAAAAGAATAGAGATTGTTGTAAAAACGGCAGGCTTATTGACCCAAATCCTTTGCTTATTTCATGTCCCTTTTCTGGACTGCATAGTAAGCAGAAACAACGTACCTTCATAGTTGGGTCCTTCTCTACTAGTGGGCGACAATATACAGGCACAGGGACATTTTTCATACGAGTGTCTTCCTGACCACCATTGGGACTCAGCTAGGGGGAGAGAAGACAAAAAGACAGTATAAAGCTGCAAACACCGGGATATAGCAAGAGAGACGGAATTAGTATGACAGAACCAACCAGAGGTGGCTGCTGCTGAGGCTTCCTATCACATCTTGTGTGAAACAGAGTCCTTAAGGGGAGAGGAGCAGCGCACCTGACAGACCATCTCACAATCGTTAGTGCCCCAGTGATGGCCAACAAAGGCTATACATTGCCCTGCTGGCAGAGAAAGGATGCTCCCTGCAAAGAGTCAGGACACTAGCATTCCCTTCCATCATGACAGTTGGATTTGATGATCTTAAAGGTCTTTTCCAAACTTAATGACTCCAAACCTCCATGCCATGCTGCCAGGCTCCTCCCTTTCAGGAGGTCTCCGACCAGTTAAATGTGTCTGTCACAAGCCAACAAATGAGGCTGATGTTTTTTGATTTTGTGTTACTTATGGGAAGAAGTGGGCATAAACTGCATTTCTTTTTCATACTAAATGACTGTTAAAGTTCTCAAAGTATAAATGAAATAACTAACGTTCCAGCCCAATTATAACAAGGGAATTTTTATTTTTAACAATAACTGGACTCTGGTTTAGGGTACTTTTCAATTTCAGTACTTTCATGCAGAGCAATGTCCCTCCATTGACTTTGGTGAAGATATACAGAACATTAATTTGGTCTGTGCATACAATTATCATACAAACAAAACATGCACATGGTACCTCTAAATGAAATAGTTAATGACTAAGGTACTTAATGACTAAAGTCACCTTCCACTCAGACTGTCCATAGTATGGTCCTTACCTGCTTGTACTTGGCTGGGAGGCTCCAGCCACAGGCCTGCAACCGCCCATCATCGTTCCGCACGTGCTCCCGGACCTGCCGGTACTGCTCTCGCTTCTGCTCACGGCGTGCCGAGGACGTGCAGTCACTGAGGAGAGAAGCACAGTGTCACCCACCTGATGGTTAAAGAGAGGAGCTGAGGGTGAAGGGAGTGTGGCCAGTATCGGGGAGGGCACACACAGCAAACCAAATCCAGCTGTGAAAAGAGATGTAGGGAGCCAGAGACAGAAAAACTCCATTGAGAAGCAGACACAGGCAGTTCTGACCTGTCACCTGAGCAAGTCATTGTCATCACCTCTAGTAATGTTCCAAGAGCCCTTCAGAAACAGGGAATAATCCTTCTCTAAAACCTAACTAGGAGATCGCACCAATTTTGGCTAAACTGTTACAATTTACTAATCTAATGTCTCCATCAGGAAGGCACTTTCAGTTCTTTCTCTCCTCATTATAGTCAACTATGGATTTTTCTGTCCGTTTTTAAGCTTTGTCTGCTGACAAGGAAAATGTGCAGTAACTTCTGGGTCCAACATAACAACTCCAGCTCTGCACTGGGAATGGTTAAACCAAAAATTGATGCATGAGCTTTTAGACATGTTTTAATATAAACAAATGTTGTTTGTCAGCTCTAGCTCTCCAAAGGTTTTTAAGGTATCATTCTGGGGTACAAGCAACATCAGCAGAAAAATTTAATCCTGTGGGCACCCCCATTATGTAAAACACTGCTGAGAACAACTCAGACACCATAGCATGACTGTGAGATGTCATCAGAGAAAAAGTTGGAATAAGGGCAATGGGTATCTAAAAAGTTTAAATTTACCCTTCTACAAGATCCAGTGTCTTTTCAACAAATCCTTTCTATTGTAGAAGTTATTCTACTTTACCACCACAACCTCCAAAGTCCTTCCACAAAAACCCACCCCATGTGAAACCAAACGACCTTCGTAATGGCAGAACACATTATGAAGTCATGTAAATCACTGAAGAGTTTTCTCCCTTCATGTCAGCAACACAATGAATTTGGGTAAGACTGTAGTAGCAATACCCAGAGGCTCATTTTTAGCATGGTTAAGATTAAAACAAAGTACTGGAACTTAAATGTGCTGTGGAGAGAACTTTTATCTTCACTTAAACCTCTTGTTAAAAGGGTTGTGCAGACATTTCATCCCTTTGTCCTGATGCTGCCATCACACTCCACCACAAAAACTCTCCTTCATTCCATCCCGGTCTGCAAATGTAAGTGCAGAACTAGAGTGAGGCCACCTTGAGCTCCTGTGGTCCCTGCTGAGATGATCCATCATGGCCTGAAAAGCCATGGATACTGTATATTTGGAAGGACAAGGTTTGCTGAACCCATCCATATAATAACTGATGAGTGAAAAGCTCAGGAGGATAAACCACAGAGAACAGAGACATACTAACATTTCCAAAGTGGAAAACAGCTTATTTCAAGCACTGATGTTATTCAGGAGAGCTGCCAGGGAGGCTGGCTTGGCACACAACCCTGCAACTCACTCGTCAGGGAAGAACTCGAGGGTGCGGCTGCCGGAGGAGATCTGACACATGGTGTGGCTGCGCCGCTGGCTGAACCCCGCCGTGGTGGGAGACTTGTAGTGGATATTCACAGAGGGGTAGGTCCTCTTTGCTGGGGGAGGACTGGAGGAAGAGCTGAACAGACGACTGAAGCTAGGGACAGAAAAAGGGTAACAAGTAAGAGAAAAGGTGCCTGGAGAGACAGGCCCCATAGATACACGAAAGGGGAAGCAAGAGGTTGGGATCAAAGGCTGTAAGCCTTTAACAAAAACTGCTCTACTTCAAACCCAGACCTACATCCTTGGTCTGATTGGCTTAAGATGCTTTTAGCTTCCAGAAATAGGCACCTCCTGAAAACAGCCCTTTATTACAACTGACTGTGAGTATGCCCTTCTAAAACAGGACAGAGAGTATGCAAGTTTCCATTCCAGGATACTCATTAATTTTTTCAGCTTGTGAAACAAAATCAATGTGCATGGTCAGATCTGATTTTAACTTCACTAAGGACAAAGGAAGCCCTTGAAGGCAAAAGGGTTAAGCCAACAACACTTCTATATGACATTAATGTCAGTCTACTAAGTTGTTATCTGAAGTAGAAATGGCAACGTTCCTCATTTTCTTAATCTTGCATGAACCACCAAACAACTTACAACTGCCAAATGGTGGATTTCTTCTTCTCCTGCACGGATGGGTGCTCACGGGAAGCTCTATGGACAAACACAGCAGAACCAAGTTAATTTCTGCTTCTCTGCCAAGCATCAGGTCATTTCCATCAAGGAGGCCATGCTGAAAGTCAGAATTCATTCTAACATGTTTCAAAAGACACCAGAGAAAGGGACAATGCAAGCATACTCAATCACTTTAAGTATCAAGGCTGATGTAAAAGGCAAGTAAGTGTGTTTAATGTGATTACCAACTCTCTGTAACACTGTCTGCCACAGACAGTGTGGGAACTACAGAACCTAGCATTAGAGTCACTTCAAGCTGTAGCCTTTAGAGCTTATCAATCAGACGGAATACTCCTCCCTAGAACTTCTCCCAGATTAATAAGCACACAAGAAACAAGCAAGACAAACAACTGTCCAGTGTCTCCAAATAATGGCAGCAACATGATATTTGCAGCGGAGGTTCAGGAACAAGAGAAAAAGAATTGGTATTAGGAGCGACGCATCTAGAGTCTGGAAAACTCCCAGTACTTCTCAAACCTGTGTTGGTAAGGGTTGCATTGACCACAAGGTAAAACATGAAAAGCCTCACCTGATCATCTCTGTCCACCTGACAGCCTCTTGGAGCTCCATCAGCCTCTCCTTGTACTGGTTGCGCTCCATCAGGACCCGGGCCATCTCCACACGGGTGAAACGTCGGCGCTGGGCAATGGGAATGTTGTCCTGCAGAGGGGAGGAGCACTGCTTCAGCCAACAAAAGATGGAATGGGATTGAGGTTAGTACCGGGCAAGTCAGGGGACAGACACATATTTGTTAGTTCTTCTCCTACCCTGTTTGATTTCACCCCTATTTCCCCATATGAGGAACTAATTCAGATAGTGAGCTCCAAACTATGGCCATAGACCTCTGGGTGTTCAGCAAACCCACAGAAACAAGAATGAGAATCACCACCAACTTGCACATGTAGCCCTCACATACACAGACCCCAGTGTGGGACTGTTGTCAGCAAGGTGCTTTGATAGTCTGCAAGGAATGGTAAGAATTGACAGTGGTCTGTCGGTCCAGAAATTTGGAAACCAAAGATTGAATTCAGTAGCAAAGCCAGTCACAAGCAGCAGGTAGCACCACATAATGCCACCTGCCCCCTCACAAGGACTGCAAGGAGGTGTTCTGTTAGTACAGATAGCAAAGGTAGGATACAGAGAACTAAGGAAATGCCTTTTCCTCTTTGGTGACATAAACTGACCTTCCAATTGAGGGCATAAGCAGCTTTGGGTTGGAAACAAAATGAGTGAAAGTCTGTTTTGTCTCTTTGAAGAGTGGAAAATGAGAACAACATGACTAAAAAAATATCTGCCCAAAATAAAGACTGCAAGGGTATTGGGAACTCATTACTAGGAGGTGGCACAGGGTTGTGCTAGACTGTGGCAATTCCCAAGCTCAGCCTGGCTGCTAAGTGCTGCTGAGAGCTGGAATAACACAAATTAACCAAGTCCTTCTAGAGCCTCCCTGGACTTTGAATCAAATCTGTATGACTAGTCAAAATAAGAACTATATAAACAAAAAGAAATTTATCACGTATTTTTTAAATTATAAAAGAAACCAGACCTCTCCTGTCCATCCAGCTGAAAACAAATCAACTCTCTTCAGCAGCTCATGAGCACAACTTGAAAATGTTCCCATCTATCTAAATTCTCAGCAGATCAAGATCACTCCAAGTAAGTCAAGAGATCTAGGCTAAAACCAAACCTGCTCTGTTACCTTGTGTAACAAAGAAAACAGTAACATGACATAAACAAATGTATTGAATTCCCTGTCCTAGCAGGTACATTTACATGGAAAATCTTGTTACTGCTTGATATGCCTTTTTTTTTTTTTCAGCTACAGTTGGTCTTTGTTGAACAGCCTCTATCCCAGCCAAAACAGTTTCAAGAGCAGTCCTATAAGAACAGCCCAAGAGCCTTTTATGCCCGTATGGTGTAACAGGCAATACTGGCTTATAGAAAAGTATTAACAAGAAAAACCCAGAACTAAGACATGGTGGTAATCACTGTTGCAAAGCTGGCTGTGTAAAATGGATTTCACTGCATGATGTCCTCACAGCTACATCTTCACTGCCTACAGGGGGACAGGCTCTTCTGGAGAAGCCTGACAGTCGTAACACCATGAGAGAATCCCCACTGCACACTAGATTTTAATTCTAAATTAGGATGGTATTGAGCAGGGCAGTGCTCTAGCATCCGGCTGCAGAAACTTCATCCTGTACAGTGGTACTGCCACTGGGTTAGCTGCTCTTCTGTGCCAGATTCTGGTTTGAAAGTTGTATAAAGGGTTTTCATGCTCATCACCCACAACCCACTCACCACCCTTGCCCTCATTGCTAACAAAGGCACATCAATCTGCATCTTAGGATTCATATACATGAAGCAATACAGGTAAGTAAATCAACCCCCTTTCCCCACAGGCATTTTAGTAATGTCATATACCAATTCTGTACAGAGATAGCTGCTTACATCCTCCACCTCCTCTTTGGGCTCTCGTCGGGCAACAATTGCTTCAGATTTCACTCTAGGAAACAGGAAGAAAGGGATCAAAACAGCAAGTGACACCATGGCTGGCTTTGGGAAGAGAACCAGCTATGGGAAGTCTAGCTGCATCCATCACCATGTGTACAAAGTGTACAAATGCTGAGATACTTCTCTGGCATTTTCCCTCCCTCTTCCAGCACATTACTCTGAACAGCTTCACTGACCTCCCCCCTTTTTTTTCAAACATTTGTTGTGAGCACCAAAATACTGACCACTGGAAGAATCCAGCCAGTTTCTGTTTCTGAACCAGCATCTGCATTCAAATATTTGATGAGAACTGAGGCATTTTCAACAGGTAAAATGCTGGCTTAAATGCTTCTGCTGGACTGCTTCTGGTTTCAGTAGATTCTCTGATTCTTTGTGATTCAATACAGTGAAAAAAGCCCCTAACGTGAACAGTTTGCCAAAATGGTAAAGAACAAACTCTGAAAAAAAAAAAATACTGGAAATATTTAAGTGAGGCATTACAAAAGGCACTTTAAAAAATCTCCCTGATTGCAAAACTACTTTCATTTCAGACATTCTGAACAATAAAGAGACCAGTCTGTGTTATTCTTGGTGATTCTGAGCTCAGATTACAGAACCTTCTAGATTCCAGATGGAGAACAAATCCTGTCCTCTGCCCTGAGCACCTGCAGTCATGCACAGCCACCCACAATGGAACTGTTCTACTCTGAGCTTCAGGAGGCAGCTTTGTGTGTATGGATGTGAAACCATCCCAGGCTTTGCTGAGCAATTGGGCTTGTTTCTCTGGTTTGAAAGGAAGATAAAAAGCGGCATGTTCCTGTATCAGACTTCAGAATCTCTTCTGCCTCTTCTTACTCTTCACATGAGCAATGAAACAATTACTGATTTAAGCATTTAAATATTTCTTATGCAACTCTGTCTGAACTCTTTCAGTAAATGAATGGGCATTCACTTCCCTCAGAGCTATCCTGGCTACTAGAAGGATCAAGTTCTTGGAAGTTTCGTTCAAAACTACTGGTCTTGAAACTCCCCTTCTTTGGGTGGTTTTGGTTGTTATTGTTGGTTGGTTGGCTTTTAATTGCAAATTTACACCCTTAATTTTCCACTCCAGGGAGCCTGGGTTTGAAGTTGCTTCTTCAGAATCCTAATCCTGCCTTCTTGTGCTCTCTAAAGTGCCTTTGAATGCTAATGCTAATCGTACAAGTGAAACAGAGTAAAACATAAGAGGTGGGTTTACCACTCTTCACTCCCAGTTCCTTGGGCCAGGGGTGTAATCACTCACCTCTTTAGCTCCTCCTCCAGCTCCTTGACTCTGGTTTCTATTTTGGCTTTGGCCTGCTTTGTTGCTTCTAGTTCTCCCTTCAGCACCTCCTGCTCCCCAGACAGCTGGTCCACCTTGGCAATCAAATCATTCTTCACAATGTTCAAAGCATTTCTTAAAGGTGTGAAAGGGACAATAAGCAAAAATGCCCAGAACTAGCAGTTGTCTATAAAAGAGACCTTTAACTAAAGTCACAGACACTTGTAGCAGAGTTGAAACAAGTGTGTTTAACAATTCAGTCCAGCTATGATGCAAGGGAAATTAAACTTTGGGAAGATGGAGCTGCAGAAGAACAGAGAAGTTGCCATAATTGTTCAGGATGAGGTTTGTCCATTCCTGTATCCTGACTAAGAAACCAACCTCTCCTTCAGAAGATGGCAGAACACTGAAAAAGGCATGTGTAGAGCAACCTATCTATTTTTGACAGAATGGAAGTCTGAAATACACCTTTCAGAATTGCTGTCATCTGCAATTGAGGATAACTGCAGATGATGGCAATAGAAATATGCATTTCCAATCAGCTCCGAAACATCTTAAATTTATAAAATCGGCAACTTCGCACCACAGTAGGTTCTCCAGCTCTCCCCTGCGAGTACTTGGCCTTCCTCTTCCCAGCTCCTCAACTTTAATAGCTGGTTTGTCAGCTCTTCTCAAAAACCAGCTCCATTACACTGTCTGCTTCTCCTCCAACAACTACAAAATATTTAAGAATTCAACAGTGACAATTCTTTTTTCCCTAATAATAAACCTTGCAAATAAAACCTTATTATCAGCAACATCCTCACAGAGGTTCAGACCAACACATCAATTCCCATTAATTTAAAACTTGCAACTGATCTCAGATGGCATCAGGCCCTACCAGCACATGCCTAGAGACTTTATCCAAGTGTCTGCAGAAAGGAAACAGCTAGGAAACAGCTCAGGAGAGCAATTCTTCTACAAGTGAAGGAACAAGTATTCAGGACAACCAGTTAGATTAAAAAAGTGAGGCAGGAGTTTTGGCCAAGACCTACTCCAAGGTGACATCTTGTAAATAACCAGGCAGGTAGGTCAGAGCATGCAACAGTTCCTTACTTGGTCTCCAGCAGCTGAGAGTTCTCCAACAGTAGATTGCCCACTTCTTTGCCCATTCCTGAAAAGAAAGGCCAGGCAGTTTTCACCTGCTCTCCTAGAAACATGCAGCTTTTGTGGCACTGCCTAACTTACGTTTGAGGAAAAGAAATCACGTTTGTTAAGCTTCCCTAGATTTCTGTGTCCTGTGTGGAAAGTGGAGTGACCTGAATGACCAAGCAGCAAAGACACCAATGTGTCCTCTAGGGAGTCCAGACTCAGATCTAGTTTCTCATCCCAACAGAGCTTCACTAATATCAGTCGGGGAAGTCAAGGCAGTAACTCCTGGTTCAGCCATGAGCTATTACAAACAATTTTTATCATTCTTCATACAGAATGAAGGTAGAGTTTATGGGTTTTTCACAGAGGATAGCAGAACACTGTCCAAGTTGCTGTCCTGCAGACTAGTGATTTCCTTCCTTTCTTAGTATAAGCCAAATTTTATGTTTGCATGATTTGGGATCATGGTTGTCAAGAATTTTATACACATGAAAGACTTCCCCATTACTGACCTTCTGCTTGAGCAATTTTAATAGGACTGCAGATTGTCCCTTGCAATATCTAGCTCTAACAGCTTTCTCACAGATGTTTAAAATGTGAAGTCTCGGTTCTACCCACATTCAACATTACAGCAGACACTCTGCACTTGAGCATTCATGTAGAGCTGCAGTCTGCAGACTGGTTTACAAGAACACTGACACATCTGGTGCTAAGAGTGAAGGTAGAATTCAGTATTTTCATAAACCAATGAAATTTAGGGACCAAAAGCACATCTGGATTGTTTCCTGTTGCCAGGGACTTGCTGAGTCCCAGGGTCTTTGTCTTACAGTGAGGAACAGAGGACAACTGAGAGCTGAAGGCAGAGAGGCCTCTCCCTGTTGGAGGACAGTGCTGAGGGGTGCAGCTCATATCTCACCACAGGTCCCAGAGCATGAAGAAGTCTCCCCACAATCAGTATTTGTTCTGCCCTCTGAACTCTCTCTTCCTTCACAGCAAAGACATCAACAGTCTTCATGATACATCATTTGCTGAATAATTTGTATTTGCAGAAAACAAAAACAACACAAACTTGAATTAAATGGAAGTTAGAGGAACATGGCAGCGCATGAGAAGTGAGAATACAGCAAAACACTCCAACACACAGATCCTCTTCCCACAGTTAAATGGGATGAATTTATGATGACAAAAGGAAATTGCCAGCAAGAATGAGTAAGAAGCAGCATTTTCATGGAACTTTTGAAAAATTAGTGGCAGATAATTAATCACTTTGATGTTTCAGGCCAATGTGTGTCCAAGAATATTCCAACAGCATAAAAGTGGGAAACACTAATTTCAATGCAAACTACAGTGTATTTTGGGTTGGTAAGGTGCAGGATCTACAGCCCTTGTTTTTTGGTTTGGTTTTATTTTTTTTTCTTTTTTTGTGACATGCCACATATTGCTCAGAAGACCCAGAAGTCTTCTCTTTACTGAATTTTTTTCTTATTTATTTTTAGTGATTCTACAAATAATCAATTAAATATTTAGCCTATAAGGCAGTACATTGACACAAGACCATTAAAGGAGCTGAAGAACATCGAGGGAAGAGCTCATTATCATCTTTTTTGGATTAAATCTTTTTCCTTCATATTCTTGAGTCATACATCCTTCTCTGTAGCTGTTTTTGTGAGAGAAAATTCTGGAGAAAAGGGTGAGCCATCATGCCAGAACTAAAGGCCACACAGCATCAGTATCCTTCACCACAGCTTCTACTTGTGTGTGATGCAGTGACAGCCCAATGCTTTAACTATCTAGAGGTCAGAAAGGCTCCTCTGGGAAAAAAGAACAAGAGGAAGCCTCCCAGAGCCATGGAATGGCACCACAAGATCATCTTGCACAGATTGTAATGGGACAGCTCTGCTCATGGGAAGAAAACTTTCCGTTTTCAATCCTTTGGGGTGTGGAACAAAGGGAGGTGAGGTCTGGGCAAAGCCCTGTCCAGCAGAGCACCTACACCATATTCCTCCCACAGCCAGGCAAAGAGTGAAGCATCAAAGCGGATAATCAACTACAATGAAACAGACCAGAATCCCCAAACCACCTCTACAGAGCAGCTGCATCCTGCTTCTTGGAGAGGTGCTGCCATCACCATAAAAAACCAAACCAAGGTGATGCAAGACATATGGATGGATGATGAGTGGATAAAAAGTGATGCAGAAAAAAAGAAAAGAGAAGAGAGAAGAGAGAAAAG